AGAATTCAATCTTCTCGACTAAAGAGGTTTTTCTTGGATCAAATTCGTAATACACACAAGTATGTACAATTATTCTATATTTTTTTAAATCATTGTTAATAGTTGTAATAACATTAGTAACAATAACAACACATACCATTTAAAAAAAATATTGATTTTTATTAACATATTTCTTTTAAATATTAAAAAAATATATATTCAATGAATCCAAAAAATTAATTCAATAATTTATTTTGATTGAAAATTAAATTAATGTGAAGTCATTAAACTCATCATTAAAATCATTTTTGAAAATTATACAACTGGAAAGTAGTTTTAAAAATTAAATAATAAGACTAACATTTTATAAATAAATTGGCATAATAAGAGACATATCATATAAACAAGAAATAAGATTAGTATAAAATAATAATATTAATTAATCGTATATTAAATGAAACAATACAAATTATATTTTCTTAAGCTTAAAAAGAAATAAAGAGAATTTAAAAAAAGGACTGAAGGTGTAATCTAATTATTATAATTTATCTTATAATTTATCTAATTATTATAATTTATATATAAAAAGTTTGAAATGTTACATCACATTATTATGCCAAAACAAATTATGATAGTATACTTCACTATACCTCAAAAATAAATAATAATTTCTTATTAGTATCATACATTATTCTGTTTAATAGCTAAATTGTAAATTAGTAGACAGAGGAACAATATAGGTGTATAACATTGCTTTTAACATTTACAAGGAATTAACCACATGGAAGAATTAATAGCATAATCCAGCTGGAGAGTCAGTAGGCCATCTAGTGGTTGGCAAATAGAGTTTATAAAGGACATAGGAAACTATGCAGCCGTCGTGTGCATGCTCGCGTTATCATGCTTGGATGGTTATCAGACTGCGTGATTTCAGATGTCCCCGACGGCATTCGTAAAATAGACACAAGGCCGCCGTTTGTCCAATATTCGACTCACGCCCCGGGACATTGATGAAAATAAGTACCACGTTCGTAAACCATGAACATCTGCGTGTTACCTGACCGGAAAATTTGGCGCATGATCGAGCATGTGTGTATGCATGCGTGTACATACATAAATTAATAAAATGTAATGTATGTAAATATGTGAATTGTATAAAGTGCATATGCGTATGTATGTATCGATGTGTATGTATGTATGTGTGTATTACGAACTATAAATGCATTTGTTAAACTACCTGCTGACCGAGCGCGCGCAGACCCGCACATTTCGCAGGAATCACCACATGGAAAAATAGTTTGCTTAATATTATCATCGTGTCTACTATCGTCGCGTACACCATCGCGATCTTCTTTTGACGCCGACCGATGCCAGTCGCATATTCCGCGGAATATCATTAAACGATACTGTAAACTAAAGAGATTTGAATTTACATTTCTATTTAGCGTTGCAATTCAATCGGCGCATTTAAATGCGAAACATAAATCGTTAGAACATCGTGTTTCACTTTTTAATTCTAATTCAATTTAGCGATAATCGTAGAAAGAATTATTGAAATTATCCTCGTTGTTAAAGACAAAATATTGTTTCGTGAAACAATATATGTAAACATTAGACATACGTGTACAATAGAAATATTTTGGATATCGGAAAAACACGATGCTCTATAAATCCATTGATTTTATCAAATATTCATTTTTTCCTCAAACATTAATACCAATAATTCACAGAAGGTGTCAAATTATTTCAAATAATTAGTCGTTTCTGACGCACAAGGAGACCAGTGTGGTTCATTTTATTCGCGACTAAACGGGAAAAACCACAGGCTATCGTGAAAAATTATTTTTCTCTTCGGTTAACGAGTGATTAATAGCTCTCGATTCCCATTTCTGTTCCCGGGTGGTGTTACGTGTAAGAACGAATAAAGTTCCGTTCCCGATATGTTACGTTCCATTAAGCTCGCGAGATTTCGTAGAAATCAATAATCGAAGGAACGCGTTTTCTTATCTTATGCTGCCTCAGTATATAAGTTTGAAAAAAATTATTTAAATATTTAAAAAAATTATTATAGCATCTTGAAATTGCGAAGTTTATTTTATACCATAATAAAAGTAAAAATAACAATGGTCCAGAAAATTTAAGGAGACTTTAATATGGAAAAATGTCTGAAACATGTCGCTCAACTTTACAAACCATATAAATTCTTTTCCTAGCAAGATTAATTCTACTGGCGCAATATATTATTCCACATTGCAGTTTTTTAATAAAAACTACTTTAATATTAAACCAAACTTTTCACGTTGCTGAAAAATAAATTATGAGAAAATATTAGAATAATCTGTTAATGTGAATGAATCTGTTAATGTAAACATAAATATTATTAAGTATATATTTTATGCTTAAGTGCAAGTTCAAAAGCAAAGGAATCTTTACATTTTCTTCTGGAATCGACGGCGCGTTTTTTTTATCCATTTTTCTTTATGTACCGCGAATGTTTCAGGCGACTCGATTTAATCACTCTTAAATACTAGCACGAAGTTTAAGCTACGATGGATCTTTTTACACTCTTTTTCCATTCCATCTCATGATTCGTTCATCGCACGGGTAATCTGAAAAGTGGCGATCAATTTTATGTGTATAAAATGCATGATTCTTGATTTTACTTGCTTACGTCAGAAATTTGTTCGCGTGATACCGCCAAGAGATTGTCGCACTTGCCTGGTCCGTTCAACTGATGCGACAATATTTGTTTTATTTTTACTTTTGTTAAGAAATTTCAACTCTAAATCGATACAATTATCACCGCTTATTTGGGTCGCACTAACGATAACGTATCGTAAACACGGCTATATACATAATTGATGTTCTTTTATCGCTCTAATCATGAAGTAGCTTACATCAACCTCACACTTAAGAAAATTCACATTTTTTTTCCTTTGAGAAAAAAACATGATGATTTACACGTGAAGTCAAAGAATGCGCGCCACTGTAAAAAAAAAACGCAATAATAATGATGCAAAATTCAGTGATGTGATTTAAATCATAAAGCAGACATTAAAAAGGTATAGAAGCTCCAATCTCCTGGTCTAGGGATCTCTCTGTCATATCAATTGACCTAACAACACATCGGAGAATGCCGAAAGATGATTTAGCCCCGTCCAATGAGCTTTGAGTACCGACCGTTCTCCTCGAGGGACGCCCAAACCTTCTCGCGGTTCGATTAGGCCAGGTGCGATACATGGGATCCATACTGCATCGCTCAAAGGCACTCCAGGTGATTGATGATCGCTGCGGGGGTAAATGCGTATGCGAGAGACACCCGCAATGCTGCCAGGAAAGAGATGGAGTCCTGCATCTGAACACGGGTACCCTGAAGCCCTCCGGTGGTCGCAGAATTGGCAAGTCGTGCAGCTTCAAAGCCGCTTTTGCTCGCCACGGTTTCGAGATCAGCGAATCACCCGTCGTCCAACCACCAGTGCGATTTATCGAGCGCGGCATGGAAATATCGTCGAGTCGAGGCTCCTCGTTGACGTTGATCGAATTAGAGCCAGACATGTCACTGATTGTCGCTGATCCTTTTAATTCAATGGTTTCATCAGCGAGTTCCTTGACATGTTTCCCTCCATTCGGATGGATAAGCCGATCAACGATTTCGGACGGCTGGCCAATCCTCGACGATTCACGATCACAGAAATCACTGTTCGCAAGCAATTTCTCGCCCGATTTCTTGCGATCGAGCGCATCGCGACACGTGGATCAGGAGGAGGAGTTTGCTTCTACGGTGGAGCTTGTCGAGGCGTCGTCGTCGAGAGAACTCTGCGTGGCGACGGTCACCTTGTTCCCACTATCGCTGCAAGTCACCGCCGAATAATTTTGACGGGGATGGCGTCTCTTGTAGGGCTCCCAATCCCCAGGACTCCGGCGTCAGTGCGTCGCGATCACATCCGGGGCACTCTTTGTGCTCTCTATACTAAACGGCCGTCTTTGATCCACCTCGATCACCGCTTCCGCTCGATACCTCGGATCCGGTGTCGGCTGAGGCTGGCGTTTAGTGGGTGTATTACCGGAGGAGTGTTGTGACGTGCTGGACGTGGTGTTACTAGAGCCATGACCGGACCCATATATAGAACTACCGTATCTCTCGCCGGAGCCCACAGTGGCCTGTCGTACGAACTTGGGCGATTGTCGATAGACGCCGCTAGACTCTCTACTGGGCTTGGGACTCTGAAATCTCTGGTAGGACGGGTACTCCAACTGTTCTGGATACTGGGCAGTTTGTGGCACGGGCAGTGGATAACTGGATTCGTGCGTGGACCAGCCGGGTGGCGCAGGTATAGGATTGTACTTCGGACAAATACCCATACTGCCATCTCTTCCGCGAGATGCCGGACTACAATCGGAGCATTGAGAGATGCTTTGTTGCTGTGAGCTTTGTTGTGACGATTGCGAGCTCGGTTGCGACGATTGAGCACTCTGTTGCGACTGTTGACGATGATGTTGATGATGATGATGATGATGATGGTGATGATGATGAAGGTTGGTCCCATTTTGGGAGCTGGGAGGGCGCACACCAAAGGTTGTGAAGCCTAATGGTGCTACTGCATCTGGTATTTGTGACTCGAAAAGACTTTCTCGGGTTTGACAGTAATTATCGCGCATCTCTGGCTCTTCGCTGGATTCCTGCAGACGTTCTTGAGTGGCGTTGCTCACATTATTACTTTGATGAATATCGGTGATATCATTCGTATTAAAAGTCATCTCAAGAACGAGCTCCTTAGTGTATTCCTGAGGTATCATGGTGGTGGGTGGTATTAATTCCTTAGTGGGCAAGACTTCCAAACTGGGTGACTCGCTGCCATGATCATGCAGATCCGTTCTGGAAGTTGAAATTGGACACGGTGTCGATTTCCGACCAAGTTCGTCTAAACGATTCTCTCTGGATTGCCTTATGTGCTCCTACAAGAAAGCAAAGAGACGATGCGTGCATAGTAACACGAGCATAAAATTTATTAGTTTGCAAATGCTATACGCTTAAAAAAATAATTTATGCATGTTTAATTTTTGCTCACAACGTTAAAAAATAAGATAAATTATTTTATTTATTGTATAAATTATTTATTTGCACCACAGAAATGATAAAAATGTAAGTATAAATTATAGTTTTGTTGATTTTAAATAACTTATTCGTGGTTCTTTTCTCTGTTTTTATTCCATTTCGTGTATATTTTTCTGAATTGAAAAAAATTACTTTTACACAAAAATTATTATTAATTAATCATAAATAAATCCAATGTTTTTATAAAAATATGCAGTAATTACAAATATCTCAATTTAAAACAAATAATTTTAATTGTTTTTTATAATTTATATAATATTAATTTTAATCAAGTAAACAACATCTCTATATTATTTTATTAATCGTTTAGTTTACAAATTGTTTTGTGATTGCAATTTGCATATAATTGTTGCTGAAATAAACTAAATTAGGACACAATATATAATTATTTATACAATTCTGATTTAAAATCTTAATTTAAATATAATAATAAATTAATATAATAATATATCATGACATAAAATGTGAATTTATAAAATATTTTGGTAATTAATAATACTAGTATTTCAAATCAATGACGAACAACAAAAAATGACGAAAACACATACTTATGTAATTTAACAAAACCATAACAAAACCAGTTATACCAGTTAGTTATACCAAGTTTAGAAACACTTTTTGCTGCTTGAAGACTTCTTGAAAACTTTACTGTCAGCACGTCAAGTTGCAAGTCATAGTGATTATTTCTACTTCAATTACTTAATTTTTTAAATCAATCATATAAAATTGAACAAAAGCTTCAGCTTTAAAAATAATGTAATGTAAAACATGAATCGTTATTAACTTGAGATCTTTTAAAAATTGAAGGTTTTCTTTTTAAAAATGTTCTTTTAGAAAATAAATTATAGATGTTCTATAGAATTATAGAAATGCTCTTTTAGAAAAAATAAATTATAGATGATACATTATAAATTATATTATATCTCTGTCACTAAATCAAAGAGATCTTTTTTTTTCAATTTTTTTAAATATAATATACAAATGTAAATTTATCTTCCCGTTTCTCTTTGATCTATATATAAATAAAAACTTAAAATAATAAACAGTTAATATTTTATATTACTTTAATTTAATATATTGTAATATATTGTAATTGTAATTATAACAATACGTAATTATATTGTAATAATAAGAAAAAGAACTTTAGATATTTACGTCGTCATAATTATTATTTAGAAAAATGCGATCGCTATATGCAACTGAGATATAACTATGTCAATCTACAATCTAATTGAACACATGTAACGTTATCTAATAACTTACTGTAACATAAATGACTTTTGTCAACAGTATGAAGAAAATTGAAAAGAATTGATTTTCAAATGTTCAAGATAAATGAGAACATAGTTATAAAAATCAATAAAACTAAATTTTTACATTTCTTTATGCAAAGAAGTAAAATATTTTTGTCGTTTCTTCAATTTTAATAGTAAGAAATTGAGATGTCACATGATTTAAGCAATGTCACTTCGCCAAAAATCTATAAATTTTGTGGAGTTATTGAAATATTCCGCAATCATAAAAAAGCCCTTTCTTCGACACTGTAGGAGAAAACGTATTGTCAATTTTCAATAAAACTTGCAACCAAGTTTCGATCGTAACCAATAGTTTCATATATGGAATAAATAATGGAATAACGGAATGAATATTTACAAAGGAAAACATCCATGGAACAACTCATAAAATATCTCCTGAAATGTAGCAGAAAACCTTTACATATTTCCGTGGAGACTTCGTTTTCCGATCTTTCGTTACTATAACTGAAGTACTATAACTGTACGATGAGACGAGAGAGAACGAACGCGTGATTCGCGTTGGAAAAATAAAATTCACTCACCTGAATAATACGGTGATCGCGGATGAGCTTCCGAACGCAGTTGAAGACGAAGGCAAAGCTCATGCCAAACATAATTAGAGAGAAAACGACGAGGATTATGACGATGTGCTGCGAATCGATCAACCGTGCCTTCTTATTCTACAAATAATGGAATTAACCATACTTTTAATATTCTTGATCGTTATCTATTAATTTATCAATTTAACAATGTAAAATAAATTTTTTATTCAATAAAAATTAAGATCATACGAAGCGTAAACGTCACAAAAAAATTTCAAATTATTTAATTTTTTAATTAATAAAACATATATATTACACATCTTAGTAATATCATGTTTTTCAAAAATAAATAATTATTAATTTTAAAGATGGCTTTTTTATTTTTGATACTACTGTCTCTTTTGTACTGCAATGTGTGTTTAATTTAATTTACATATACAGATACAATAAATGATTATAACTGTACTACTTGTAATGTGTATAAACGTATACAATAATTTTATAAATATTATATTTTATAAATATTATAAATATTATATAAACATTATATCACTGCATTAAATATTAATAAATGTTTATTAAATGTGATTGAACCCGTTGAATTAAATAAAAAGTTGGGAGATGGAAAGGCAATTAATTATCACTTAATTTTAGCTAGAGCTTTTCTCTGTAACTTACAGACGCGAGGTAGACTCGACAATGGCTTCTCAAGATTCACGCGGATTCATCGGTGTACCTCGACATCGTGGCACGACGTACAGCCTCTTGTCATTGTCGTTCTACCCCGTTTCCAACATTTATCGGCTACAGAGGTGTCGCAGTAAATGCCTTCGCGAAATTTCAGGGGAACGTAACATATTACGCAGGAAGGGTTCACGCAAAGGAGAAACTTGCGAAACATCGCGGCGCATAGAATATATGAAGCAAGTAGGATCGACGCGATCCATCTTCGTCCCTGTCTCTTGCGTATCGTCCTTTGTCTCATAGAATGGCGATGCTGCCGCGGATTTTGCCTGTTTGCTCCTTGTTTACTTAAGTGGTTGCAGCGGGAGAGTAACTCGTTGAAATACTACTTTATATCACGTTTGTACAGTCAAAGTACAAAGTATTTGACACTTTACTATTTACAATGGATAAAATAATAATTTATTTGACAAATAAGGGAATAATCGTTTTTTAACAAAAATTCTTTTCTAATAATATAATGTCTCTTCGAAAACATATATTTTTTCTATAAAGTGAACTAGGACTTGTATTTTCCTATTTAGCTCCTTCATCAACATTTTATATAACGCTCTCTTAATACATATATCTTTGTTTCAAATTTTGCAAGCTTACATTTACGTATTTAACTGATTCTTGCCTTCTATGAACGACGAACGCATTTCTTGAGGTTAAATCGTTCTGCTGACATAGCAACTTTACCTTCTACAAAGCGTTGCAAATTTGCATACTCACGCAAGTAGATACCATAATTAAATCATCAAGTACACTTTAGATGGTGAACAAGACTTCATTTAGATAAAACGAAAAGATCATAAACTTTATAATCATTTGTAAGATTTTCATGCGGATTTACACAAAAAGATCACATATTTTATTTTCTATGTGCACATATATTATATTTCTTTCTCTCTATGCTAATTAATCAATTTTGTTTTAAAACATAAATTTATTTTTAAATATACGGAAATAAACAATTTTAGAAATTTTATTGATTTTTCAAAAATATAATTAAAAATTTTTTTTACAATTGTATAAAAATATTCGGTGACGTAAATTATTCATCATAGCACATTCGATGACCGGGAAACTTCGCATACGGGAAGTCCTACAAACTTACATTATGCAACGTGTTGTATGCGAGTCACGTTATATATTCACTGCTTACACACTAATAACTAATTTCAACGGACCAGTCTTGCGCGCCACTGACACAGAATTAGTTTGCGTACATTATTGCTACTCATGGATCCAGCGTGGAATGCGCCGTTAAATCATGAAATAATTTATATCGGCGTCACATGTTTGTGTTCGCTTACATGCTAGTTCAAAGAGATGCCGTTTTCCTTTCTTCTATCTGTGTATATGTCTCCGTGTCCCAGTGGTCGCGCTATAATTTCGCGGCGTTTATCTTTCGTGCCCTATCCAAGTTGAACTCGTTGCTCCGACAGCGAAAACATGTCCACTTAAATCCGAAATGCTTAACGTGACGGAAAATCAGTTTGTACGAGCGTAAAATGAGTACGTACAATGTATAATCGCAACATATTATTCTCAGATATTTTGCACTGTAAAAATAATATATGACATATTAATAATTCCTAATATTTTCTCTTGCATATTTATGTGTGCATATTAAAATTTATATCTCTGTTTATTCCAAGTGTGTGTATATGTATGTGTGTGTGTGTGTGTGTGTGTGTGTGTGTGTGT